TAAGTACCTTACAACCATCGCAAGACAAAAGTCTTGCGATGGTTGTAAGGTGTGTGCCCAGCCTGAGAGAGGCAGGCATTAGGAAAAACAAACACTACTGGAGTGCAGCAAAACCGGGGATTGAAGACTCTGTAGTAGGAGTAGGGGGAGTACACCCCAAGCCAAGCTCCATGAAACATAGGAGTAGGACGTGCCAGGGTGTGGGAAGCCCACATAATTCACAAATAATTACATTGGGGTACAGAAATCCAGAAAATTAAGAAAAGTCAAAAAATGCAGTGTTTAAAGTAAAACCTGCAGAAGAACCTCAGCATTCAAGCTGAAGGGTATATAACATAGGGAAAAAAAAACCCAACCCATTGGTAAAAGGAGGTGGGGGCATGGTTTTGCACAGTCCACTTGGGAGAAAGATTTTGCTCACCTACAAGGCAGTGTAGCTGTACCAGTTGTGGGCTGATATCCTCCTGTGGCATTAACATTAGAAAGAAATAAAAAACGAAATCAATCTGAAACTAAACACTAAATGTTCTACGTAGTTACATGTCTAATTAACATATCTCTTATTATGTCATGGGCACCCAGAATATAAATCAGGAAGTCTGGGCATACCACTGTTAAGAGTATCACCAAAGAGACACGTTCCTTGAAAAGGCAAGGCAATAAGACATTGCTAAAACATATCATCTATGTCTCAAGAGTGTAGTCACAGTGCTCTGGGCATATGAACAGTTGTAACTGCCATGTGAGACACTCATTTATGAATCAAGTTAGTCATTCCAGCTAGCTTAACTTGGGCTGAAACAAGGGATAACAGATTATTGGTGATGTCCTGAAATGTAAAGACATTATTCACCAAGGTAAGAATATATATTTTAAGGTGAAGGGCTGGAGAGTCCACACAGAAGGTAAGGATCATATGTCCAGAAATGTTCTTTCGGGGGGAAAATACTGCTTTACATAATCAGCAAAATCTCAGTCCTCACACAAAACGTTTTCCAGATGGTTGGTGAAAAAAAGTGGGGTGCAGGCATGATGGGTACCGAGAGAAGGGGTTGCAGGTGTGGTGAGTGATGAAGCTTAATAGCTGGGAGCCGTGAGGTAATTTCCACTGTTTCTGCATCCCCACACAATAAATAAAGGGCATATATTAAAATGTGTTGCCTATAACAGACATCAAGTAACAGTCAGTGTTCAGAAATTTGGACTCACAATAATTGTAAACATTGTGCTGCCACTAACATCCTAGGCTAAAGGATGCCATGCTGCCATCTCTGCTTGCCTTATTCCCGTTCTCTGGCACTCTAAAGGTGCCACACGATGCAAGGGGAAGGGCAGGCAGTAGCAAATGGAGGAGGGAAATGCTACAGGCAGAAGGAAGGTCAGACAGCAGCAAAAAGTACATGCAGAATCCTACAGCCATAAGCTGCCCACCCTTCCCTAAATTAGAACTACTTTCAAGAAAAAAATTACAGGTAAGCCTAAAAGGAGAGGTAGAGGTGCTGGCTGCCACATGGAAGTAAAAGGTGCCAAGCCTATCATTACTAATGTTACCTTTTCTTCTTTCTCCTATACCTCCTTTTGCCTCTACTCCTTTTCCTCTTTACCTCTTCCTTCCTCTATGTAATTGTGGCACAAAGAGGGGCTCTGGGGATTTTTTTTGTCACGCCAGTGGGTCAGCATCTAGGACGCCTCCACCATTTTGGAATAGTGAGTTGTGATCAAGCAGGGATTAGGGACAAAATAGCTCTTGTGTTCATCCTAGATCATACACTGCATGAACTAATAGATGGGATTTAGCACAAAAAAAAATCACTTTTGCAGCTCCTCCCACATTTAGCTCAAAGTTACTGGCCTGTGCAGTTCCATATTAAAATATTCACACCCACCAGTGCTTTTTTACTATTATTGTCACTAGCAAAACTGTGCCCATTCCAGAACTCACTTCCTGTAGGTGTGGGGTGACAGTGGGGGGATAGAGTAAAAGTGGGAAGAAGTGTGCCCCAGGGGAGGTACAGGCATGGTGGTGAAGTGGGGGGCCCCATCATGGAAGTGTAATGGGGATGAAGTGCTGGCATGAAGTGAGAGCAGGGAGAAGGTACAGTTGTGAGGGGGCTACCACCGTGTAGGAACAGGTGTAGTGAGATTGAGGATCAGGGTCAGGTGGGGAGAGATGGGCTTGCAGATGTGTTGATGTTGGGGGTTGAAACGTGGTGGTGAGAGCAGGGGACAATGCACATGCACAATGAAGGGAGAAAAGGGGGGACTGCATTCATTTGATGTGAGTGGGGGTCTGTTATGGTGTGCTGGAGAAAACTGGGGAGGTGGTATGCAGACATGGAAGCATGCACAGGGGCATACTGCAGGTGTGTAGGTAAGATTAAGGGGAAGCATGCACAGGTGAAGTGGTGAGAGACAGAGTATAGATCTATGAATTAATTTGGCGGGTGGTGATAGAAGTTAGGGTGCAGGTACATTTGGTGCTGGTGTGAAAGAGGGGTGTTGGAGGTGTAATGGGTGCTGACAAAAGGGGAGCTGCAGGTGTGGTGGGTGCTGAGAGAAGGGCTGCAGGCACAATGTATGCTTAGGGTAGGTGGGGTAAAGACATGGTGCGTGGTAAGAGAATTGCAGGTGCAGGTATGATGGGTGCTGAGAGAACCCTCTTTTGCAGGTGCATTGAGTGGTAAAATAAGGGGAATACAGGTTCAGTGGGTGCCTAGAGAAGGGATAGGCAGTGTGGTATGTGCTGTGAGAAGGGGGGTGCAGGTGTGGCAGGTGCTGAGGGAGGTGTGCAAGTGCGGTGAGTGCTGAAGGAGGTGTGCAGGTGCGGTGGGTGCTGAGAGAGGGGGTGCAGGTGTGGGGTGTAGTGATAAATGGGAGATACAGGTACAGTGGGTGCTGAAAGAAGACAGGGACAAGTGCAGTGGGTGGTGAGAGAATGGGGGGGTTGCTGAAAGAAGGGGTGGTGCAAGTATCGTGGATCTTGACAGAATAGGGGTTGCAAGCAAGGTATATGCTAAGAGTAGGAGGTACAGTGTTGGTGAGTGGTGAGAGTGCTGGCTTTGAGTGAAGCTTGGTACAAATGTAGATGGTGCTGTGAGAAGGGGATGTGCAGGGCTGGCGGTTGCTGAAAGAAAGGAGGTGCAAGTGTGGTGGGTGCTGACAGACAGTGGGCTGAAGACACAATGGATGTTAAAAATAAAAAGTAGGGGTGGAAGTACAATTGCTACTGAGGGAAGAGGGCTGCAGGTGTGGTGAATGCTAAGAGATGTGGGAAGGAGTGCAGGTGCAATCTGTAATAAGATAAGGGGGTGCAGGCAAGTAGGTGGTGAGAGAAAGGGAGCTGAGAGGGTGGTGAGAGACAAAGGGGTGCAGATGCAGTAGGTGGTCAGAGAAGGAGTCTGCAAGCATGCTAAGTGCTGAAGGAAGTAGGCTGCAGATGCTCTGAGTGGTGAGAGAAGAGAGGTGCAGGTGTTGTGTGTGCTAAGAGAAGGGGGTACAGGTGGCTACTATGAAAAGGGGGGGTACAGGTGCGGTGGGTGCCTAGGGAGGGGGTTGCTGGTGTGGTGG